CAGAAGATTAGAGGTGTTACAAGACAGTAACAAACATAAAAAAGAAAAAGGGGAGATAAGGACGATAGATGTTTGATAGGAAAGGAGGAGCAAACCAGACCAGAGCACCTGCCAACCGCCCACTTCGTCATTTATGTGACCTATCGGTGTTTCAAGTGCCGTAAAACTCTTACTTAAACTAAAGACTCCGTAGTTTCGCTGTGGGTGTTTGACGTTTGCTCTAGTGTGGTTTGCTCCATCTTTCTTGTCAAGCATCTATCGTCTTTACCTCTCCTGCGTTTGTGTATTTGCTACTCTCTTGTAACACTTCTTATCGTCGGACCTTATAATAATATGACCTTATTGTGTTGCAAGTGTCATAAAACTCTTACTTAAACTAAACCATAGTTTCTCTCCAACGATACTCTAATAGGAATGCTGACAAAAAGAGTTACTTCTCGGTTTCAAGCCTCGCAGAAATAGATTCATCACACTTCTAGGTGAAGTTTTTACAATGTATAAGTATGAATTAATAATAAAAGGCATGTTATGGTTAAGCAATATGACATCAATAGAAAATCTAACAAATCTGGCCATAGTATCGAGTTTTGGCCAATATCTCCTTTAAAATTTGTGGATTGCGAGAAGTAACTAATTTTGTCAGCACGCCTCACCTATGGTATCGATATTGTACTGTCGCGTATCGGTCCTCAGCTGGAGCCCGTCCACAAGCAGGTTCCGGTGTTACTGTCCGCCTTGGAGAACAGAGGCCTGGCGTCCTTCCGGAAGTTCTTGGACGTCTTACGTCAGACCGGGCATAGCTGGCTGGTGGAGCAGTTGCTGGACACTGACGTCACCATGGTTCGTTTTGTTTTGTTTTGTTTTTGGTTTGTTTTATGTGTGTTTTTTGTTTGTGTTTTGGGCTCATTTGTTTGTGCATTTGATTATATATGTCTGTTGTTTTGTTTGTTTAGATCTATTTGCTGTTCGTTTGTTTGTGCATTTGCTTGTTTGTTTGTATGTATTATTAATTTGTTTGTTTGTTTGTTGGTTTAAAATAATAATAATAATAATCAATAGCATTTGTATACCGCATATTCCCACTCGAAAGCAAACTCTTGCGCTTTACACTTCATCACTACCCCAGCAGACCATAGAACAACCAGAAACATTCTCAGCTTCCCGGGAAGCATACAGTGCAATCAGCTGGTTAAGCCCTCAACCACTAACAAACTGACAAGACCTTTCGCAGTCTATAGCTGGATACCCATTAACACCTGAGTAAAGTGAGGAAAATCCGTGTAAAGTGCCCTTCCCAAGAACAAAACGTCGGGCTCCAAACTGTTGCGAGTCTGAGAGCCTAACCACTTGGCCACCGAGGCCACATTCACTTGTTTGTATGTTTGATTGTTTGTCATTTTTTGCTGTAGGGCTTTAAATAGTTTAAATGTTGTTACAATATGAATAGTTTTAGTGAAATTCTTCAACGCAAGATCTGATCTACCCATGAGACACCGGAAGGTCGTGAAATGTAAACACCGGCGAAACTAACACTATCGAAACACACACACACACGCGCGCGCTTCCGGCAGACAGATATTGCGCGTGCGCACAGAGAGAGAGAGAGAGAGAGAGAGAGAGAGAGAGAGAGAGAGAGAGAGAGAGAGAGAGAGAGTACG